TGTAATTCATTTCCCACCCCATCTCCAGTCTCATTCCTCAGTGTTCACAGCTTGCCCTCTCTGTCTCTGCCTTTTGCACACACCTTTCACTGGCTCGAGGGCGTCAGTCCCCAGATTTTCTTTCTGGTCAACTGTAGTTCCTTCTTCAGGACTCAGCTCTGGCACTTCTTCCTCTAGGAAGCTTGTGGCCCCAAGAGTAAAATGTGCAGGTGCCCTGCTCTCAGTCCTAGTGTTATTTGAAGCTCATACACTGGTTTAGAATTACCTGCTTGCTCTGTTTTCTCCCCATCCCTACACTTTGATCTGTTCGTGAATGAGTGTGTCTTTCATCTCTGTTACTCCAGTGCTAAGAACGATGCCTGGTGTTGGTGTCAGTTTATCTTGCATATAAAATTATTCCTGATTTTTTTCTTGTTCATCCAAGAAGAGACTCGAGCAAGATCAAAATGAACATGATAGAATTAGATTTATACAAAACTGGGATTTCAATCTTTTAATTAATATTGAAACTTTGCCTCACATTGTCATTACAATACAAGCTGTGTGAAGTGTGAGTGTCAAAGCTATTAATGAGATCATTTTAATCTACCCTCACCATAAAACTGAAAATAATATAGATAGAAATAACCCATCGTAAATGGGGACTCTCTGAGACCCAGTTCCTTGGTGCCAACTGCACAGAAAAACAAGCACAATGGTCCCGGGAAACTGAAGACAATTAGGTCCTGATTAAATTGCCTTCCTGAGACAAATGAATGCCTCAGAGACAACTGAGCATTGTCCTTAGTCGTGGCCATCTTGAATGTTAACAATGAGGGGAAGAATTGTTTTCCTGGGAGGGAGCTACATAATTTCTGAAAGATCTCTGATGACTTCTAGCGCCTTCTTTTCTGACATAATTTAAGTATATATTTATTCATTGATAGTCTTTCAAGGGCCCATCTAGTTGAAAATCTGTGATCATTAAATCCCAATATTCTTAAAATAATGAAGGGCTCCTCTTTCTACAGCCTTAACTTGACTTTCCCAATCACTAAATTAATCAAATGAAATTACTCTATTTGCCACTTTAGTCCCTAGGCTACGTCAGCAAGCGCACAGGTGCATTGTGTGTTTCTGAGCAAATCTAAAAGTAGGTTGCTCATCAGAAACACAACTGTAGTCACACTTTCCTTATGGTACCTAGGTAATTATCAATTGATTAATCTGTATAGTTTAATGATTTGGATCCCTACTTCTCTAAAGATGCAGCAGACGGTTTTAAAGTCTAAGATAACTGAGACTTCATTACTGTTGCAAAATCGAACTCATTTTAAGTGGTTGAACCCCACTGGGGAGTGCTGACATGAATAATTACCATTACACACAATCTATCAAAATGAGTAGTTCCATTGCCTTTAGTGATGTTAACATCTTCAAATGTGAATTACATGTATATCTCTAATTAAGATTAGTGCATCCTTCAAACTTTCTGATTTTTCTCCCTTCTGTGATAGCATAACTTACTACATGTATTTGCATTTGTGAGAGTTACTAGGTAATGTTTGCGGCAGGCAATGGATGAATGTGTTTGCTGAGAGCCCAGGCTTGTACTATCTGATTCCTAAAACAAACAAACAAACAAACAAACAAAAAACTATGGTACATGCCACATTTCAATTTAGTTCCTTCTCATTTTAAATGTGTTTTGAGTACCTTCCATGAGTTTATCATAATGTAGTAGTTTGTGTATCCAACTTGAAAAATTATATTAAAGACAGGGAAGTAACCTGGGAACAGCCTTGATTGAAAAAACTTGCCCTGGCTTGGTGTGGCTTGGTGGATTGAGTGCTGGCCTTTGAACCAAGGGGTTGCCAGTTTGATTCGCAGTCAAGGCACATGCCTGGGTTGCAGGCCAGTTCTCATGTGGCGGGGCATGCAAGAGGCAACCACACATTAATGTTTCTCTCCCTCTCTTTATCCTTCCCTTCCCCTCTCTCTAAAAATAGATAAAATCTTTTTAAAAGCAGTATAACATTTTTAAAAAACCTGAATGACACTAAAAAGTGCTCCCATTTTGGAATGTTTGCTTTATGTCAGAAGGTGTGATATGTGCTTTATGTGCATGATTTCCAACTCTTCTAATGGAGGAAGGATTATCTTCCCCATTTTGCTGATTATGAAACTGAAGGTCAGAGTTCAGTAAGGTGTCCATGGACAATGCTAGCAAGTTGATTTATTGTGGATTGCCATTCTGACCTGTGTTTGGATATCTCATTGTTTTAATTTGCATTTCTCTGATGATGAGTGGCATTGAGCATCTTTTCATATGTCTATTTGCCATCTGTATGTTCTCTCTGGAGAAGTGTCTATTCAGGTCCTTCCACTTGAATTTTTGGGTTTTTTTAATGTGGTACTGAGTTTTATAAATTTTGGATATAAACCCTTTATCAGATGTATTGACGAATAGGTACTCCCATGCTGTAGGTTATTTTTATTTTGTTGATGGTTTCCTTCGCTGTGCAAAAACCTTTTAGTTTTATGTAGTCCCATTCATTTGTTTTTTGTTTCCCTTGCCTGAGGCAATATATCACGTAACATATTACTACGAGCGATATCTGAGAATTTACTGCCTATGATTTCTTCTAGGATTTTTATGGTTTGGGGCTAACATTTAAGTCTTTCATCCATTTGAATTTATTCTTGCGTGTGGCATAAGAAGGTGGTCTAGTTTCATTTTTCTGCATGTATCTGTCCGACTTCCCCAACACTATCTATTGAATAAACTGTCTTTAGCACATTGTATGTCCACGCTTCCTCTGTCAAATATTAATTGACTATAAAGGTGGGGGTCTATTTCTAGGCTTTCTATTCTATTGCATTGATCTCTGTTTTTATGCCAATACCATGGTGTTTTTATTACTATGGCCTTAGATTACAGTTTGACTAAGTAGCGTGATTCCTCCAACTTTGTTCTTTTTTCTTAGACCACTGTTGCTATGTGGGGTCTTTTAATTATCAGTGGGATGTTTTCTCAATTTCCTTTTCTGATAATTCATTATTGGTGTATAAAAATGCAACTGATTTTTGCCTATTAATTTCTTATCCTGCTACTTTGATGAATCCATTTATCAGTTTCAGTAGTTTCTACATGGAATCTTTAGGGTTCTCTCTGTACAGTATCATGTCAACTGCAGATAATGACAGTTTTACTTCTTCCTTTCCAATATGAATGCCTTTAATTTCCTCTTCTTGCTTGATTGCTGTGGCTAGGACTTCCACTACTCTGTTGGAAAAGAGTAGTGAAAGTGGACATCCCTGCCTTTCCCCCTATCTGAAAGGAGATGCTTGTAGATTTTGCCTGTTGAGTATGATGTTGGTTGTAGGTTTGTCATATATGGCCCTTATTGTGAGCAGGTATGTTTCCTCCACTCCCCACTTTGCTGACATTTTTTTTATCATAAACGGGTGCTACATTTCATCAAATGCTATTTCTGCATCTATTGATGGGATCATGTCATTTTTATCCTTCATTTTATGTGGCATGTCATATTAATTGATTTGCAGATATTGTACCAAGCTTGCATCCCAGGAATAAGTCCCACTTGATCATGGTGTATGATCTTTTCAATGTGTTACTGGATTTGGTTTGCTAATATGTTTTTTGAAGATTTTTTGCTCTATGTTCATCAGGGATACTAGCTTAAATTCTTTTTTCTTTGCAGTGTCTTAATCTGCTTTTAGTATTAGGATAATGCTGGCCTGGCAAAATGAGCTTGGGAGTATTCCCTCCTCTTGAGTTCTTTGGAATAGTCCTGACTGGCTTCTGGCCCTTGAGTTCACACTCAGCACAGTGGCCTCTACCCCATGATCATCAACACACTTACTAAAAGGGCTTAAAAAAAAAGATCACTAATCTACCTGGAATTTCCCTTTCAAATAATTAAAATGCTATTTCAGATAAAAACAAACAAAAATATGTGAGTGGACACATAAAAGGCACCTATCGTAAGATTCCATTCATTGGAATAGGTAAAGGAACAGAGACAGAATTCAAACACAGGCGTGTCTGATGCCAAAGTGGGGGCTTGTATTCCGACACAAGGTCATACTTAAGAGCACAGAGGTGCCACAGATTTACATGTTACGTACTACTGTCTACTCTTCCCAGACCCAAGAAAGACATGGACTCTGACCAAGCATTTTCCTGTCCCACCCATATCAAAATATGCATGTCCTGACAGTGGTTCACAGGGTTAGGAATCAGTATAACATTCAGTTAAATTTCTTAATTTTCCTTCCTTTGACTTCTGGCAGAAGCTCCATCTAGTGCCAGAGCCAATTGTTTTTCTCTAATGACTTAAGGGGCGGGTAGCCTGAGGCTCCATGGAGAACTGCAAACCTATTTATCATCTTTTCCTTTGTTCCATGGATGATAGCCTACATACAGCTTTAACTGGCCTCATGAGGACAGATGTGTTGATTGTTTCCACTCTACCAAGAAAAAACACTGATAACAAGATTTGGCTATTATCTAGACTCGTGAATGTAATTTTTAAGCAATTATAAAAGTATATGTATACTTACCAAAATCTATTCCTCACACACAAAAAATACTTATTGAGCTGATTGAGTTACAATCAAATGTAGTGAGCAGTACACATGAGACATGTTAAAGATGCCGAGAAACACCCTAGCTTGGAAAATAAATAACAGTTTCCAGCAGAAAACAATTAACACCACCCTTAACTAAGAATAAAGAAATTTGGAGTAAGACCAAGAGCCAAGCATTTAACCTGAGTGTTTAGAGCCTGAGGGTTGAGGTTTCATTGGCTCTGTGAGATAGGACCCCTCTCCTAGAAAGATTCCAGCTTATTAATTCCTGAAAAAAATGATAGGCAAAGCCTTTAAAAAAAACATTAGAGGTTTTTTTCTGTGACAGAAAAGCAAAAATAAACACAGCTTCCTGTCTCTGGCTTTACTTCTTTTTCATACTTTTTGCGCTTGTTCCTCTTTGCCAGGTTTCTAGCCAATACCACTTTCAGAGGCCTCAGTGGTTCCATCAAAGTAAAAGGTTCCTCTATCATCAGTTCGGACAACAACTTTTTCATCTGGAATCTGCAACATGACCCCATGGGAAAGCCAATGTGGACCCGCTTGGGCAGCTGGCAGGAGGGAAAGGTTGTTGTGGACTACGGAATATGGCCGGAGCAGGCCCAGAGGCACAAAACCCACTTCCAACACCCAAGTAAGCTGCATTTGAGAGTGGTTACCCTGATCGAGCATCCATTTGTCTTCACACGGGAGGTAGATGATGAAGGCTTGTGCCCTGCTGGCCAACTCTGCCTAGACCCCATGACTAATGACTCTTCCATATTGGACGACCTTTTTAGTAGCCTCCATAGCGGTAATGATACAGTGCCCATCGAACTCAAGAAATGCTGCTATGGATATTGCATTGATCTGTTGGAAAAGCTAGCAGAAGACATGAACTTTGACTTTGACCTCTATATTGTTGGGGATGGAAAATATGGGGCCTGGAAAAATGGGCACTGGACTGGACTGGTGGGTGATCTCCTGAGTGGGTCAGCCCACATGGCAGTCACTTCCTTCAGCATCAATACTGCACGAAGCCAGGTGATAGATTTCACCAGTCCTTTTTTCTCCACCAGCTTGGGCATCTTAGTGAAGACCCGAGACACAGCAGCTCCCATTGGAGCCTTCATGTGGCCACTCCACTGGACATTGTGGCTAGGGATTTTTGTGGCTTTGCACATCACTGCCATATTCCTCACTCTGTATGAATGGAAGAGCCCCTTTGGTCTGACCCCCAAAGGGCGGAATAGGAGTAAAGTCTTCTCCTTCTCTTCAGCTTTGAATGTGTGTTATGCCCTCTTGTTTGGTAGAACAGCAGCAATCAAACCCCCAAAATGCTGGACTGGAAGGTTTCTAATGAACCTTTGGGCCATATTCTGTATGTTTTGCCTTTCTACATATACAGCAAACTTGGCAGCTGTCATGGTGGGTGAGAAGATCTATGAAGAGCTTTCTGGAATACACGACCCTAAGGTAATGCTTGTTTTTTACTCTAGCTCTCTTTGCTGTTTGTTATAACTCCATATGTTGTGTCTTATGTTATGTATGTCTATGTTCTTTCATCTAATGCAAAATATACTCTAAGCCATCTATAGGGACTAGTCCAAAAATCTGTTTTCTTGTTGAATTAAACATTTTTTGCTGTATTAAATGAAACAAAAAGAGTGAAGAGTTTCAGGGGGTGTTTGTTCCAAAGAAAGTCTTTCTGGTAGAAACATGAGCACAATTTTTTCTTGTGTTATTTGACTGGCAGAATGGCTATCAGGGAATAGTTTACAAAGTATATTCACCCAAAGCAGATTTCATTATGAATTGATTAATTCCTTGGGGAAACAAAGAGTGAGATCCATATTTTAAATAGTAAAGAATCTTTTTTCCACTATTAAAAATAGTTAAATGAAAAGAACTACCATTTTATCATAAGCTCCCAAAGTCAGACACTGGAGAACTCAATGGGTGTAGAAGAAGAGGTGCTGGACTAACTAAGGTGGCAGGATTAGCTGAGAGTAGAGCAACCTTAACAGAGTAAGGAAAGCTGTATAGCTGGTTACCTTGGGTTTGGGGGAGGTCACCAACAGTTCTAGTACAGTTGTCCAAGGACATTTAAGAAAACCGTATCTAATCCAGGCTGCCTTTCATATCCTAGATATTTAATCCTACAGATAGAAGGAAGGAAGGAGGTGGAGTTCAGGCAAACAGGTAAAGCAGTGGTGAGTTTCACAAATCAGAACCAAAGATTGCCCAAATTAAGTCACGATGGCATGCATGAGAAACATGAAGCAATGACTTTAGGGGTTTAAAAAGAAAACCATAAAGATAAACCATACACAGCAGTTAAACAATTTTTTTAAGTAAAAGAAACAATCATTCTATTCTCCACTCTACCAAAATAGAAAGGTGAAATTATAAATCTAACCCAGCCCACAAGATGAGGTGAGTAGAATTGGACAAAGTCAACTTTCTGTTATAGCTCTCAAGTTCTTAAACAAGTGAGATAAGCCTAAATCTAAACCATTTTTAATCTGAAAAAACAAATGAATTTCCCCTAAGTTTCCTCCCCACAAAAAAAAAAATATATATATATATATATATATATATATATATATATATATATATATATATATATAATCTTCCCTAGTGATGTTTCTATGTCAAAGTCTCTCACAGGTTTTCTTTTTTCATACAAAGATACCCAAACTATTTGACAAAACAATACTTGACTTAAAAAGTGAGATTTGTGATTTGAATTTATACACAGTTCATAAGTGACTTGAATCCTTTCTACATATGTATCTGTAATCACGATTATCGGATAGCTTGCAATGAATATAATAGCTCCTTTTCTCTTCTTGATTACAATGGTTTAGCATGATGGCCATACATTTAACACATTTTATTTACATTTAATAAAGCTGTTAAGAGTTAAAAATATGAATAATCTCCATTTCAGAGCTGAGATTCACTTGCTCAGCCAATTAGTTAGAATCTGGAATAAAATTTAAAGCAAAAGGCTGAGCAGGACAGACCAGTTTATGATTCACTACATGTTGCAGTAGCCAAGGCAGACTGGAATCCTTTTTTTTTTCTAATGGGTCAGAGGGAAGAAATAAGCTTGTTGCTGGCTGCTCTTATAGATAATCCCAAGAGAAAAGGACTGGCCTGCTGTGCAAATGATATCCAGGACAATGGTTCTATCCTCACTCAACTATTTTTGCCAGAATAATTTATTTTACACTAAAAGTAATACATGTAGCTACTCATGGCCTCCCACTGACTCTTCTGGGAAGCAAGCTCCATGCTTCAAAGCAGATGGGCCCTTAAAGCGTGAGACATGAGGGAAAGAACTTATGAGTGATGTATTTGATAGAGATTATATGGGTATTTCTCTGGCATAAAACTAGCACTATTCATTACTGGCCATGCAGAAAATAGAGTGAAGTAGATAGACGGAAACAAGCACCCATTGGCTCATCATCCAAGGTCATTTTCCTTTAACATTATGAGATGACTGACAGGTGATAGAAAATGCAGTATTATTTTTATCCAACAAGGTCTTCGCCTGGGCCTCTGATCTATGATGTAGACCTGGGCATTCTTAGAACCTTCTAGCCATTGACATCCATTCTGCTGAGATGTAAGAAAAGATTTAAAATATCACTTCATAAATTGTAAAGTACATTGAAAAAGAAAACTTTACCTCCCCCTTGGAGTTGAATTGGCCCAGTTAAAGGGATATATGTGCATCTCAGATGAGCTATTTGCTGATTTTAATGGACTTTCCAGTTCTTCTTTTCCAGCTTCTCACATAAAATGTTTCCTTTACCCCTGTTCTCTAAAATATTTTTTTAATGTTAGCTCCTTAGAGAAAATAGGAGGCTAGTGTCATTTTCATACAGGCAAATTATGGTGCAGCTTTAGAAAAACAGTCCCAGTGAACATTAAAGAAAATATTAAAAATTAAATAGACCTACTGTGAAGGCAAGAGCAAAGTTTAACCAGAAATATTAAAGTAAAGGACATTCACAGAACCCTAGCTGGATGTAAGCATTTCCCCAAATAATAAAGACCTCCTTTATCATTCTTCATATAACAGCATGTGGTTGCCTCATATAACATATGAACTCATATAATAAAAGCTGACCTTGAAGGACAGTGGAATGCCAGAACTCGGAGGCAGACAGATCCTGAAAATGGAGTTTGAGGGAGGGAAAGAAAACTGAGCTACATCAAACCATTTTTTCATTCTCAGCAACTTCTGTCCCAGGTACCTTGCTAGGTGGCAGGCTATTAAGTAGTGACCAAAACAGACACTATTCTTGCAACATGGAGTTTGGTGGGAAAGAGAGACATTTATCAAGGGAGCACATAAATCAGCTAATGAATTAAATCATGGTAACTTTACAATCAAGGAAAATTACACGGAATCAGAGAGCCTCACAGGAAACGTGATCTGCCTGGAGAATCAGAGAACCAACCTCACCCAGACCCCTCCCCCTGAGGAAAATCAATGGAGCTGAGATCTGAAGGATGTAAATGAGCTCATGGGAGTTGGGGGCATTAGGAGAGCATAGTCTCAGGGTGACCAAGCAGCCAGCCTGTGCGGAAGCCCTGAGACAAGAGGAAGAGGGGTGTAATTGCGAGCACCCCAACATGAGTTAAGAGATGGGAAAGAGAAAAAGAATAAGACAAGTTAAAGAGTAATGGATTTTGATCACCAGACATTCTAGGGGAAAAAACTTCTCAAAACAAGAAAAATCCAAGAAACGCCATAGTCTAAGGAGACCTGCACTCCCTGTGGGCCCCATGTACTTCCAGATTGAAAACATATGTGAGAAATGTTCATTCACTCTTGCAACAAAAATTCATACTCAGGAAAGCGCCCTCTATAGGAATTGCATTAAAAATGATGTTCAATGTACAGACATACAGTTTGCATAAAAAATGAATGCGCCGATGTTTACACATATCTTGTCAACATGCTAAACACCATTAAGTTGGTGAGTTGTATGGTATGAGAGTTACATCTCAATAAAGCTGTTTTAATAATAAGCAAACAAACTACCATGTTACCACATTGGAAGACCCACTATTTAAACATGTCAAATTTTCCTTAGTTTATAGATCTAAAGCAAGTCTAATCAAAGTCCCAAGGGATGTTTTTGTTTTGCTTAATCTCCTAAAAATAATATATTAAAGTTAATATTAAAAATAGAAGCTTCAAGAGATTTGATATTGAAAACCTAATAGTAGTAAAAACAACAGAAAAGCGAGGTAATACTCACTGACCACTGCCAAGTGGCAGACACTGTTGTAAATGACGTTAATATAGAATATCCTCTCTTTAAGCGGTCATGGAAATTAAAATAGTCCAAATGAAGCAACTTATATAAAAATAATTAAAAGTCTTATCAGATTTTAATACCAATATTAATTATATTTATCTTGAACAATTAGCTCTCCTTCATTCTCTTTCTCGTCGTTAATGTGAATTGATAAATGGCAAGATTCTTTCTGAGCTAGCATTTGGAGATCTCAGAGGCAAATGTTTTGCCTACTAATAGCACATTTATTGTCACTGCAGTACGCATTTTAAGCATCATTCCTGGTTTCACGTTGTTTCCTTTTTCTATTTCTTCCTATTTTAATTTACGCTATCTTGCATTTGGTGACCTGTAAGCTGCCATAAATCCTTTCAGCAAGAGAACAACATATACATTAAATACATTAACATTGAGTAGTAAATAAAAGTATCCAATAGCAATTCAGAAAAAGAAAGAAAAATTGACCAAGAAATTAAAACATGTTAAGTCCTACTTGTAATCAAAGAAATTCTAACTGAAACAGTAATGAAATGATATTCTTACCTATCAAATTAGGACTCTTTACCTGATTGTTCTCCACCCTGATGGATGCACATTTAGACTGGCACCAGCACACACTGCTAGTAGGAGGGTAAGTAGGTACCATATCATCATAAATCAATGTGGCCATTTGAATCCAGAGCCTTAAAAGGGTTCATGCCCTGTCACCCTTGACTTCCACTTCTAGGAATCTGTCCAAGGGAAATAATATATGAACAACCATTTATTGAGAAGATTCACTACTGTCATACTCAAAATAGCAAAGACTTGAAAACCAAGTAAATATCCAACAGTAGCACAACTAATACTTTATAACGTTCCAATGTGCTACTAAAAACGTAGCCAGCAGAGATGATTTTGAAGAGTTTTAAATATCAAAAAATCAAAACATCACACAAAGTAAGAAGTTAGGATACAAAAGCATATCCTACATTTCCAGTCTCAGAATATTCATGTGTACATGTTATGAAGAGAAATGACAAGAAGGAAATATCACCCAATGTTAATAGTGTTCACATCCAAGCACTGTATACAGGAAATATGTATTGTATTACTTTTCCTCCATATTTTCTGTAATGTCCACAAACTATTTATGTAATGACAGAGTACATC